TTTTTTTGAACAACTGAATGACTGGCTGACTGAAGGGATAAATGCGGAGAAAGGATAGTAGAGATTATTGTATTCAGTGATTTTTCAAATCACATTAGACATGGACTCCCTTTCTTCATTAAAAGCATTTGCAATGAGGTGTATGGAACCAGAGGGTATTATGCTAAGTGAATTAAGCCAATCAGAGAAAGACAATTATCATATGCTCTCACTGATATGTGGAATTTAAGAAATAAGGCAGAGGATCATAGGGGAGGAGAGGGAAAATATGGAACAAGATGAAATCAGAGAGGGAGACAAACCATAAGAGATTCTTAATCTCAGGAAACAAACTGAGGGCTGCTGGAGGGGGCGGGGGTGAGAGCGATGGGGTGGCAGGGGGATGGACATTAGGGAGGGTATGTGCTATGGTAAGTGCTGTGGATTGTGTAAGACTGATGAATCACAGACCTGTACCCCTGAAACAAATAATACATTGATATCAATTTTAAAAAATTTAAAAAATGAACTTCATACACATACCAAATTAAAATTGATAAATATGGCCCAAAAAAGTATACACAGGGTGTGTAAGCCCAACAAATCAATTGTATGAAAGAACAGATACTCTAGCCGAAGGTGAGGGTTTGTGGAGCCCAGATCGCCACCCTCTAGCCGCGCAGTCACCTGCTCAGCAGCCATGGGCGCTGAGTCTGCTACAGGACCAGGAGAGCAGCTGCGACTGCAGAATGCGGCAGGGCGCACAGGAGAATCTCTGAAGTCCAACAGTTTAGGGCCTAAGAGGTTAGAAACTTAAATACTAAATGACACCAGGCGGACTGTGTAGATCCAGGCGAATGCCCAAGGTTGATTCCCACTAAGGACACACACATGCCATGTGAATTGTGTATGTGACGTTGAGCAGCATTTCCAAATTCATCCAGAAATGCCACATCTCTTCTGCTTAAAGTCACAGCCAAGGCCCGTGGCTCCATCTCTCGGGGCGGGGGGGGGGGGGGGGGGGGGGGAAGGGAGGCAAGGAAAAATAGCTTAGAAACAAAACAAAACAAAAAACCAGAACGAAAATTTTGTGTGTATGTTCTCTTCCTAAAAGACGACGTCTTGGGGCTCCTGGGTGGCTTAGCGGGTTAAAGCCTCTGGGGTCAAGATCCCAGGGTTCTGGGATGGAGCCCCGCATCCAGATCTCTGCTCAGTGGGGAGCTTGCTTCCTCCTCTCTCTCTCTGCCTCCCTGCCTACCTGTGATCTCTGTCTGTCAAATAAATAAATAAATAAATAAAATCTTAAAAAAATATAGTTAAAAAAAAAAAGACGTCATCTTATGATTCCCTGCTACCACACTAGAACAGGCTCGCTTCTGCTTCCTTTTTCTTCCCTTGCTGCTTCAGGTTCTGAATGAATTCATTCAACAAGTATTTCAGCACCTTCGAGGAGGTAGCTAGTTCTGCGCACCTGAAACTCATTTGCAAACAAAAAATATAAAAATCTACAACATGTATTATAACAAAATGAAAAAAAAAAAACACCGTAAATAAAAATGAAAGATTTCTGAGACATGGGCAGGAGAGGTTGAAGACACTCCCAGGGTGACATTTCAAAAAAGTCCTTACTTCTGGATACACAGAAGCAAGTACTATTTTTAATGTTAATATTTGCTTTTTCAACTAGTTGATGTAGGAGGATATACGTGGTAGTCTTGGTAACAAATCTTTATTGAGGAAAAATAGGCCAGCTTTCAGTAACTTTTATTCTTTACCATTGACCATTGATATATGTAACATAATCCAACAAATAGTTTGGGGGGATCTAAGACTGTACACATGACTAAGAAAACATCCCCTAAATAAACAAGTCTATGTTTTCATAACTCTCTAGGTCTGCCCAGCTCACCTCACTCTATGGTATCAGTAATCATTTCAGCCTCTGCGGCCACTAATGCTACTTACAGTACCTGAGCTATAAGAATAAGATTCCATTAGAGCAAAGTTCAACAGATACTGTTTTAATCCAGCTCTCCGCACTGTAATCTAAAACAGTAAATGTCTGCTTCTCACCTCTCTTAGACTTGTAATCCAGTATATTTTATGAAACAGAATTGTGTCTGAAATAGCATTATAATGCTAAACATATGCTTAAGGAATGATTAAAAAAAAAGTTAGTCATCTAGTATATTCAGTATTCAGAGATTTTAAGATCACACAGAAAACCACATCTAGATGAGTTACTGAATGAGTCACTTTTCTTCTGAGCATGTTGGCATTGGATAGACAGTCAGCATTCAGGCCTTATACATTTTAGGCACTCATCCAATTTACATATAATGTAATGCATAGAAAAGGAAAAACAAAGTCCAAAATGAACTAACTTAGAATGGCTATATAGCATAGATTAATATTTTAAAATAACTAGAGAAGTATGTTTTTGTTAGTTTCATTAATACATATATTAAAACAAGTTTATTCCATTGGAAAGTATATTTGTTTCTCAATAGGAGTCAATTTATATTCTGCAAATCTTTACTAATCTTTTACTGCTTACCATTACAGGCCTGTAATAGAATTACACTACCTGAATTTAACATGTCAGTTAATATTTCCTTCCACGTGAGGGTAGTTAGTTAGTCTATGAATGTTAACGCCTCAAAAACAACATCAATTTATCTAGCTGTTAATTAAAAGAAATAATAAGAGACAGCATCTCTTTTATGGACAAAACCGCACATGTAAGTAAAGCATTTTAAACCTTTTGGATGCTATTTTAAAGCAATTAAGAATTGAAAAAAATAAAATGCATTCATTAAAGTCACATAATACACTAAAAAAAAAAAGGAATTCTGTGCTTTGACTATTAAAAGGAACTTGCATAATATTTCTTAAAAGTATTTATAAAGCACTTCTGCTACGATTCCTTTTTGTTTTGAAACAAATAATGCAACGCGTAAACCACAGTCAACTCTGAAGGATGCATAATGATATCTATTTTTAAAGAAAAACCTATACATTATACTCATGGAAAGCCCACTTGATCATGCCAGTAATTAAGAGAAACACATTGATTATTGTCACATACTAGAGATTTAGAGCTTGGGAAAAATAATTTACAAGTGAAACTGTTGAAATTTGATTAATATTAAGCAAATTCTCATCTTTCAACATCTTATAGAAATTTCAGAAAATATCCGCTCGATTCTCTTTTTATTAGTTTCAAAGTTGCCTCAAAACATGTGCTAAAGTGAAACGGTGATTAACTTTCCATAGGGTCCATGGAGGGAAGTTGGAGCACAGGGTGGGTGTGGGGAAGTGAACCTAAATTAAAATAAATTAGCAGCTTTCCTTCTATAATCATTGGAGATGGTTAGGGTTTCTGGGTACAGTGGGGAAATTATGAGGAACAGAACTCTGAAACTAGCAATATTCCATCTCATAGAATTAAAAGAGTATTAGAGCTGAGTCATCAGAGGAAAATTTGGACCTTGATTTTTTTTCTTCTATCCTGGTCACTTTGTCTGAAACCTCTAAGGACCATCTATAAAATAAATTCTTTCTCTCTCTCTCTCTTTTTTTGGATAGCCTGAAATCTAAAAAAAAAAAATACTGATAAATGACACTGAATTACTCCACAAGTATAACTGCCACATGATTATATCACAATAATACTTATACTATTTATGATCATTTGACATTCCTCCAAACCACTAAATTTCTTGCACTACATCACTGAGATCAAAGGTGTGCCATTATATATCAGAATTTAAGTTCATCCATTAATTACAGATTTCCTTCCTCCCTCCCTCCCTTCCATTTTTCCTTCCTTCCTCCCTCCTTCCCTTCTTTCCTTTCTTTCTTCCTTCCTTCCTTCCCTCCCTTCTTCTCTCCCTTCCTTTCTTAAATTAACAATATCTTCTAAGATGCAGTGCTCCAAATATATTAACTGTAGCTTGGCAGATCCATTCTATAAAACCAATTGTTATGTATGCTTTATGTGTTGCAAAATGGATCTAGCTAGTAGAAGTGAATATATTCAGTGCAGACAACCTAACTGAATCATTTAACGCATTAATTTGAGTCTTTAAGTTTGATGCTATCAATCCTATCAATCAGACAATTATTCATGTATCAATTCCTATTGCTCGTGAGCTACATTTTAGATTATTCAGGGGTGCATTTATTTGATTAGTGGTATTCCTATGGAGAGACCCAACTTCAGCGATGATCACAGCTGTTGACTTGTTTTAGTAATACATTTGTTTTCAAAATATACATATCTGGGCTCATTGGTTCTACATGGCTGTTTTACTTTCATCAACTCCCCATTTTAAAATGTGTATTATCTGCTTGCATATTTCTGTTTTGCAACCCTCTTGTCATCCCACATTCCACTACCCAATTTCACACACACACACACACAAAATCTTGCCAAGCATTTCAAGGAACTCAATTCCTAACTTGGAGTAATGTCCAGCAGACAAACCATAGGGATGTGTCTATAGAATGCCAAAAAAGATCTTGTCAATTTTGTCAGAAATTCAGTCATTCATCCAGATATTTTGTCTACATCATACCAAACATGTTTAATGAATTCTGTTAACTGACTAAAAATCTGACAGAATTGCCTTGACTTTATTTAGACATGGTTCAAAATAATAATAAGAATGGCAATAAACACCCTCAAATAAACAATATATTCAGGTTGACACAGATTCCAACCTTAAAGTGACTCCCATTGGCCAATGTGGAACAGAATCTTTATGATATGGTTGCAATTTGGATTCTAAGAATGCCAAGGATCCACAAAATTTTTATCATCCTCCAGTTGATTTCAAAACTAGATCATAGAAGAACTAGATACCCAATGAACCAGAAGGATTAAATGTTGTTCACTGCATTTGAGTTCAGAAGTGACCAATTTGTGCTGGGCAATTTACTAATGACAATGACTATTTATGACTGTGGATATCCATTTTAATTAGGTTATTGCTTAAGGATCATAATCGGCCTGGAATCTCTTGGAAAATTTGTAGACTATATAAAGTTACAGAAAATTGTGAAAAAGTTGCATGCTTTAAAAACTTAGTATTTCCATCAAGCCTGTGGTTTGAAAGGAGTGTGAAGACAATCATAAGTGGATGTTTTTAACACAGTTTCTTGATATTTACAGTATTTTTTCTTCTCTAGTTGCCCTCCCTTCAAAGCTGGTCAATTGTTTTTCCGGGGTTTTATTCACCTCACATTCAGTACAAGGAGGCATTTGCAATTTCTGTCAAACAATACAGAAAAGACAATTAGAATAGTTAAAATAAATATATGTTTTAAGGTAAAAATTAAAATCCTAACAAAAGTAATATAAATATATATATGTCAACAAATACAGAAAATGAATGCTAGACCGAAATAAAATAAATGTAAATTTGTTAATACTTTTATTTCATGGAAGTACATAAAATACTGTTTACAAATGGCAAGATAGTTCAAAAACTATTTTGTGAAGACTTTAGCTAAACCATTCAACTCTGATGAATCTAACCCAAACGTTAAGAAATGTTGTGTTAAGTGAAATGATCCCTAAGAATTGCTATGATATAATATATTTGGTCAAATATAGAACAGTACATAAGGAAGTTCAGAATTAAGCTCCTGAATTGTGTTTGTTGTTTGTTTTTGTTGGGGATATGTCATTCTTGCTATGTCCTCTGTTTCCCCAAATCCCTCCTTTTATCTTTTTTTGTTCCACAAAGAATAGACGCATGCTTTTTGTTATCTGTTTATTTTTGTTTTGTGTGTGTGTGTGTGTGTGTGTATGTGTGTGTGTTGGGGGCTGTACCTCCCTCACCCTGTTCTTCTGAGGACCTCAGATGATCAAACCAAAAACTCAGTGGCTGGCACAGTGCTCATAGAAAGTCCAGAGGCCCTAGGTGAAGGGCCTCAGTTAATACAACATCCCTGCTTCAGCTAGAGAAAATCATTGGACCCAAAGGATTCGAGTTCTTCCTGACAGAATCAAAACAAACAAATAAAATACCTTTGGGGCAGTCACTGGTTCTGCAGTAGCATTGATTAGGGGAACGACTTTGTGCTTCGTTGAGCAGGTCCTGCCCTCTTGTAAAAGCTGCAAATGAAAATAGATCAATGTAGTTAAATTAAATGAAGGAGGGGATAGAAAAATTCTCTTGAATTCTTCCCACTGAGAAACTTCCTTTACTTTGATGCAAGCTGAAAGGGCAAGCTAGAGACAAAATAAGCTCATCACATCCTGAGTGGGAGCCCAAGGAGAGATCAAGCCCTCACAGGTGGTTTGGGGATCTTAGTGATGCTTATGAAAATCAGCTACTATAACAAAATTCCGTTCCAGTGGAAAGCTCTTTCTTTGCAAAAGCAGTTAAACTGAAGTAAAGAATTATAGAACTATTGTATCTGTGACACATCTGGACTCAAAGACTTAGATATGTCGGTGGTCTATACACCTGCAGGAACATGAGTACCACAAGCCCTGAAGCAATTTTAACAGTCTAGTCAACAATCTGTCTAGCAAAAACTCCTGGGTACCTTAAAAAAGATCTTATTTTGGAAAATAAGATTTTATATTTTACTAACTAGGAATTCTCATCTTCTTTATTAGCCTCAACAGTTTTGAAGAACTGCTGGCCGTGTATTCCAATTGGGATTCGTTTCCATTTTAACCAAGGGTAAAATATTGACTTTCCCTTCCTTCCCTTTCTCCATGCTCTCTCCTCTCCTTCCCTCCCTTTCTTCCTTCCTTCCCTGTCTGCTTCTCTTCTCTTCCCCCTTTCCATACTGTCTTTCATTCTTCCTTCCTCCCTTTTTTCTCTTCCTCTTTATTTTTTTTAAAGATTTTATTTATTTATTTGAGAGTGAGAGAGCAAGAGTGAGAGAGCATGAGTGGGGTGAGGGTCAGGTGGAGAAGCAGCTCTGTGCTGAGCAGGGAGTCCCATGCCCGGCTTGATTCCAGGACTCCGGGATCATGACCTGAGTCCAAGGCAGACACCTAACTGACTGAGCTAAACAGGCATCTCTTCTTAATCTTTATTTTAAACATATTTTCAAAGTAACTACAAACACTGTTAATTGTAAGAATATGCTGCTATTTGGGGGGTGGTTTCTTCTAATCCTTTCCATGTGTACAGCAGAGCCCAGGAGTCGAAGAGTCCATAGCCACTGGGTAGCTCTGAACTTGAACAAGTCCGTTTGTTTCCTTGGGATCTGACAGCAAAGAGGAGACCAAAATGGCCTTCGAAACCCAACATCTTATAAATTCCACAAGTAGATGACAACTAAAGAGGTTCTACAGGAGACTTAACCTAGTCCAATTCAGATTTTAGAGCAAAGTTATTTTCATACGCTTCATATTCTGGCACTGTATTGCTCTTAGTGGAATACACACTACATTCCTTTACCATTTCATGCCTATATGTATGCCAACCACCTCACCTTCCTCAAAGTCTCTCTCCACTGTGACATCCTGACAACCAGCTATTCATGCCTTCCCTAGAATGTCATTTCCACCAATAGATGCACTCAGTCATACTTTTCTGCTCTAAAGGTACATTGCGTATAAAAACTGGATCACTTAACAATGTTTTTATATGTATAAGCATGTCTAGCTGCTTAATATATTGTAAGATCCTTGAAGATAGAGATGACATTTATCAGCTGTACCTTCCAGCTTGAGGCCAACAGATAACAAGGAGCCAATATGAAATCTCTGAATAAATAATAATGAAAATATGATTCGCTATGAAATTCATTGGTTATGAAAATATTTTAGTCCTTCAGAATTTCAATAAACACCTGATTTTTTATATGATCAGATTTGTTTGTTTAATTGAGACTCCAGAATGGTTACACAGAGTCCCTTTTTCTATAGAAGCCTACATTACAGTAGCAAAGTAAGATAACTATAATAATAGAAATCAGTAATCAAAACCTTGGCTACCTTATCTCAAAGAATTGTAGGCAGAGGCACAGAGGAACCTTGTACACTAACTAATTAACATGTTTGTTTTTATGTTCTGTGGGTTTGAATTACATCTGGACTCTAAAATATCTTTAGAATGTTATAGTTATTCTGCTTTCATTGTGATAATACAACTGGCTTGCATTTTTATCATGCTTGCATTTAGCCTTTGAGAAATTAACAAATAATTGTATGAAATCAAGCTCAAAAAACATGATCAATGCAGAAAGCATCTTGAAAAGTATAAGCCTTCCCAAAATATATTTTAGAATAATGGCATTTGTAGGTCTTACATGTTTGGGGGAAAAGTTCATTTAAACATTAAACAGTTGTATTTAAAGTAGTTCTTCTCAAAGCCTTTAGCATGCAATTTCCTAAAGTTCTGGTCTTAAATGACTTGTCCACATAATTACATAAGATGATTGTTAAAACATAACCCTCCTGGATGGTAGTTCAGCCCAGTGACTATGGGGTTTGCATTTTTAATCAACACCCCAACAATTCAAATGCACAGTCAAATTTGAAATCCACTTCTTCACAATGCACAAATACATTACAAATCTCTTAGAAGGACATACAGCAATTTCCTAAATCTAACCTCAAAACACTGTCTTGTGTGGTGCTTCACTTGAGGTCATTCTCATGAGGAAGAGACTATAGGATCTGCAGTGGAGTTTTTTCTTTCATTAATGCAAGCATAGCCGACTATTTCAGACAAGGCTTTGATCATCTGAACAATGAAAACTTATTAAACTTCAACATTAAAGAAAATGTTATATGGCTGAAAGATAATGTGAACTTTTTTTGATACTTTGATCTTCTAATGAACACTACCTTTAAATTTATTTTTTTTTCTGTGCCTCACAGGCACTGTAGAAATTTCATGAGATGAATTTCATAAAATTCTTAGTGTTTCTCAGAGAGGCAACAGATGTAAGAGCAACATAATTGTAACTTGCAGGTACCATGCTTTAATAAGCATCTTATCAATCCTATAGCCACTGATAAAGTGCACATTCATTGGTGAAAACATAAAGGGGGTGTTTCTTCATGGAACCCTCTCCCATTGGTTGCCAACATTACCCAGACTGCCAAAAATTGCAGACAACTGTACTTAAGGAAGACCAAAAACAAAAAACAAAAAACAAAAAACAAAAAACAACAAAACAAAACACCGCATGGTTACAAAGCTTTGGGAGTAAAATAGACTTTGGTTTGAGGTTTAGCTCTAATGTCTATTCATTGGTGATCTTGATAAATGACTCAATAAGTTACTTATCTCTGGGCCTCAGTTCTTCAGCTGTAAAATGGAGCTACTTCACAGAATTATTATGAGAAAACATACAAAAATATTCAGTATAAATTCTAACAATAAACATTCTCCCCTTTATCCCTCTTCCACTTTCTTTCATATTAGCATTAGCGTTGTTAATGAGTACACACCAACAATTCTGATGAGTGACACTGACATTACACATGAGGTATGGGGCAGAATCAACAGTCAGGTAATTCCCACACACAGAAGTGAAAGAGAGAAGGGAGAGAGAAAAGAAAATGGAGATATGAGTGCTGATTTGGAGGGATGCAAAATCACTTAGGACTAATGCTTCTCTTCTGACACTATAGATAAAAATAATAAAATTAACACAATGGGTTTTTTTGGGGGGAGGGGAGGGAAAAAGACGAGAGAGGCCCCTGAGTGGCTCTGACAGTTAAGTGTCTGACTCTTGGTTTCAACTCAGGGCATGATCTCATGGGTGGTAAGTCAGAGCCCTGCTTTTGGACTCCCTACTCTGGGGTGGGGCAGGGGGAATCTGCTTGAAAGATTCTCTCCCTCTGCTCCTCCCACCACTTGCATGTGGGCGTGACCACACACTCTCTCTCTAATAAATAAATATGTCTTTTTAAAGAAAGGATGAGAAAAACAGAAGTTTCAAGGTATAGAAAATGATGTTGATATATTTAAAGCTTTATCCAATGAAACACAAGCTTGAGATTCCTACTGGCCAACTCCTTAATTTTGCTCTTGTGACTCCATGAGCAGGACCTAGTTAAAACTTGCCAGACTCCTGACCCATGGAAAGTGAGAGATAGTTAGTGTCTCTTAAAGCCATTCATTCCATGATAATTGGTAACTGGAAACTAATACAGATATTATGGCAGAAGACCTTTATGTGATATCATGCAAGCCTGAAGTAACTTATTGTATTGCTTTACCTTTGTTTTGAAAATTTAACTATAGTTAATGTATTGGTTCCATACTTTGTGAAGGTAGTTGGTAGTTAAATTGTAAATAAAAACTCTTTGGGGGGTTATAATTTAAAAATAAATGTGGGGCGCCTGGGTGGTTCAGTGGGTTAAGCCTCTGCCTTTGGCTCAGGTCATGAACTCAGGGTCCTGGGATCGAGTCCCACGTTGGGCTCTCTGCTTAGTGGGGAACCTGATTCCTCCTCTCTCTCTCTCTGCCTGCCTCTCTGCCTACTTTCGATCTCTCTCTGTCAAATAAATAAATAAATTCTTTAAAAAAAATAAAAATAAATGTATGAACTTACATTTTTAAAAAATGTAATAATAACAGATAATCTCTTTCCCAATTCTTTTTTTTTTTAAAGATTTTATTTATTTGACAGATCAGAAGTAGGCAGAGAGGCAGGCAGAGAGAGAGAGTGGGGGAAGCAGGCTCTCTGCTGAGCAGAGAGACCCATGCGGGGCTTGATCCCAGGACCCTGGGATCATGACCTGAGCCGAAGACAGAGGCTTTAATCCACTGAGCCACCCAGGCATCCCATCTTTCCCAATTCTTTCTCCCAGTGTCTTTATGGCTATTAATATTGCTGGCTCTTTCACTGTCTTAAAATTCTCTGTTTAATAACAGTCCTCCTTTCACATTTTATTATCTAATCTCTTTGCCCCCCCTTCATCTCAACCCCTCATATTTACACATGAGGAGATCAACAGCTATATAATGCTCTCAAGGCCATAAAGGTATTGTTGCCAATTAAACCCATGTCCACCTTGCTGTTAATGTGGGATCTTTCTAAGATTCTATACTACTTTTTTCTCACATTATTATTTACCTTTATAACATCTTAATTTATAACATTAATTTATAACATTTTAATTGCCA